GCAGTACATCATAGCATTTCCGTTTTTAAACACACATTCCGTGATTTCTGCGGCATTCTGCGCTATGCAGAAAATCACCGTCCCTGACCGGTTCCAACCTCTAGTTCTTGGTGATAAATGATCGTAAAGGAACAAAAAAATTTACTTTGCCAATCATTTTGTATTATTAATAGGTGAAGATAAAAGACCTTCTTTCTCTAATATTTGGTGTACATTATGTGATGTTCCATTATGTTGTAATAATAGTAGAAACTGTTTTAAAATTTATCATGAAAAACAAAAATTTTCGGGTATATTGTTAAGTGAAGATCTTACTAATTATATCACTTTAATTAAACTTCAATAAAAATGATACAAGTTTTAATGAGCAAATTTTCTTTTTATTTTTCATAAAAATTTTCTAAAAAAATACTTATTAAGAACATAAGTTCTTACCAATAATGTTATGAAAACTTAAATAATATTTAAAATAACTATGAAAAATTCAAAAAATATCAAATTTATCACATTTTCAAAAAAATTTTTATATATAGGAAATATCAATGGTCTAAAAAAATAGTAACGGTTTTTTTATTTTTATCACGAATCTATTGTGTAATTGTATAATAATTTTTATCAAATTGGTTTAACGATCTCATAAAAAATTTGATTTGTTAACATTAATGATTATTATATAATCTATCGCTAATATTTAAAAGATTTTCATAAAATTTTCTGGATCATTAATCCTTCTGATTTTTAATTATCTTTTAAATATTATAATATCTTATTAATCATTATGAGTAGACAAACTACTCCTTTCTCTTGAATTCTGTCGAGTTCAGTTTTTGTCCTAGTGATTCTTCAATGATATTATTTATGGAGAACATATGCTTCAGGTGATATTGGAGGTAAAGATGACATTCAAGATTGGGGTATGGATCATGCTGACTGGACTAAGGTTGCTTGCCAAAACTCCTCCAGAAATCAATCAGCAGGGTTTCGGCAGGTTACACATTAATTGTTTATTAGAGTTTTGGCATTTTGAGGTTTCACCATTTTGGCATAGTTTCAACAGGATTTTTGATAAGATTTAATATAGTTTTGCTGTGGTTTCAGCAATTACTAAGGAAATTTCGCCCACAACCTTAGACTGGACTAAACTCTGTGATATAGATTTCATAAAAAGTTTTAATAGTCCTGAACCTTTACAACATTTTAGAAGACTTGCTTATTTCTGAAGACAAGGTTCTAATGCGATTAAAGCCATAGAAAATCTGAAAATGAGAAGAATTACATAATGATATCTTAAAATTTCTGAAAAACACATGTGTGAGATATGATATAATTTAGGGCCTGTGTAAATTCGAGTTTAACTTAATGTACTGGTACTTATTATTGTATTTACCATAGATTGAGAGCAGATATATTAGTGTTAAAAGTATTTAATGTGGAGAAGGAGTTACCCCCAGATCATAGCCAAGAGAAAATAGAAGAGAATATTAATGAATTAAAAAATTTGCTAAAGGTAAATATTAGATAATTTGAACCTTTTTTTTTTTTATGAAAATTAATAAGGTTGCGTATTTAGCATCCTGCATCAGAGGCAGACACAAATCTTTATGGGGCACTCAAACAAACTTTTGAGAACATTGATCTTTCAAGTCTTATGTGGGAGGATCCTGAAGCAAGTATGGTCCTTAGTGATAATTCAGACATTGTGAAAAATTTGGAGTGTAGGCAAAAGAGTACTTTTTTAGGACCTTGGGAAAATATGAAATGCATTATACCAGGTTCAGTTGTGGCAAAGTGTATGAATTTGTGAACAATTTTAACAATTTGAATGCTTCACGGGTTATGGGGAATATCTTTCATAATAAAAATCAGAAAGAAACTGAGAGTGAGCTGATAAAAATAACTGATTGCATTCTTGGTACACTGTAAGTAATTTCTGTACATAAACAATCGGCATTACTAGTATCTCTGCATATTCTAATGCACTTTTATTAGTTATGAGATATGGAACAACCCTGCATTTACAACCAGTGCATCTCGCAGTGAGCAGAGTGAGGGAACATATATAACAGACATTATAATTCCTTTGCTTCAATCAAGTTTGGGGAACCTTCCCAATGGCTGTATATGCTTAAGTACAGCAGAATACCAAAGTTTGGCAAGTACATCTCAATGAAATATAGGAATGGATAAGAAACATATTGGGAAAAAACCTGATATTATGGGGTTGCTGAAACAAAACAAAAAAAATATAGAGTTGATGTATGCTGAGTCCTCACACATCATCTGCAGTAATTCGAAAAAAGCTGATGATGAAGTGAAATTATGGAGAGAAACATTAGATGGGGCAAGTTTTATAGGTTTATCATGCAGACCAGCTAGTAATCAATTTGGAGTTGTAGGGATTCAAGTTTCCGGTACAGTCATGCAACTAAATATTCTTGTAAAGGATCTGGCTGGCATACCATGATATTTTCACCTTGATCATGCCGAAATCCCACTATCACCACATACATTGCACACTAAATCTCTTGCTTGTTTATTACTAACCTTAAGAAACATTATGATCATGAATAAAAGCTTACTAATGCATGCATTAGAACAAGCTAGATCACATCCACCATGAAATCCAAAATTAAGTGCTGTAGTTACTTCACTAATACACTTTCTACAAAAGTTCATTATATTTTATTTTTAACATACAGATCAAATAAAGTACACTTTTTCTTATTTCTCATTTCAAAAAACTAATGATATATGCATATGAAAAAATAAACCAATTAATTCCCATACATATCGAGAATTCCTGACCCAATATTATTTATCTCTAAATATCTACATACCTCTTCATAATCAAATACTGTCTTCATATCTTGAGTGTTCCTATTTATGATAATTATATCTTCATCCATGATATTTACTTTTAAAAATTAATAGTAGTGTTACAGGCTCCCCTGAATATAATTATATCGCTTAATAATAAATCTCAATAATAACATTAGTAAATATCACATCAATTATCATGTTCAGGGGCCCTGGGGTGACCCATATGCATGTGAATAAGAAATTCAGTCAGTTGATCGATTTGTATTACATGCATTGCATTCCAAATTCATCAAAAAAAACTGTTACTTTTTTGAACATGTCTTCATCAACTGAAGAATTTTATAAATTTGTGGAAAACTGGGACACGGAAACTCTCATAACTTTTTTAAAACATCAAGATCTGAACCTTAAAGAAAGATATTTAGAATTTCTTCATAAGCAAGAAATTAATGGACGAGCCTTTCTTCTCTTGACCAAGGAAAAGCTTTTAGGCCCTCCTTTTAACTTTGCTGGTGGTCCTGCTTTAATTCTTGCAGAGCAGATTAAGATATTAAAAGATAGTAAGAAGAGGGCATTTTCATCTTTCAAGACCCAGAATGATTTGAAAGAAGTTTTAAAAAATCATGGAATTGTTGATGGATACAGTATTACTAACATCCCACAATTTGAACCAGGTAAGCATTTCTTGATAAAGTCTAGCGAAATCAGATGAGTATGCTCATTGTGCATTTATTCATTCTAGTCACCTATAAAATCCGAGATGATGAACCAGCTTTAAAATCATGCATAGACAACATTCTAGAAAGATTAAGAAACATGGGACCAGTAATTGATAGTAATGAAGCGATGAGATGTGAATATATTTCAACAATTTTGCATTCAGCAGTTACAATTCTTAAAGGTCTTATCAAAGATCATGCTACAAATGTTTTAATTTTACCTCAGCTAGAAGTATCTGGTTGTGTAGATTATGCAATTAAAAAGCACCTAGACAATGCGATTGAAGAAATTCTCTGTATAACTGAAGGAAAGCAGTATCAACCAGGAATTGGAATGGCACAAAATATTATGCAATGCAAAAGTTCATGTGATGTAAGTTTTTCATGCCTTATGGTTTTTCAAGGTTGGATTTTTTTTGTTAACACAATACTGCATACTTCAGGCAAACAGGAGAAAAAGAAAGGCCCAGGAGGCATTTGAATCCAACTATGAGTATGTCTATGGTATAGTTTCAACTGGGACAGACTGGTTTTTCCTTCTTTATACAACAGATGGTATTTATTGTACTAGTAAAACAGAATACCGTATTTCACTTACTGAAGCATCTCTTAAAGATTGTACTGCATTAAAAAGTAATGTTAAAAGGATTTTGGAAGTGATTGTTGGATTATTGGAGGATCGAGCAAATATTGACATGTCACCAGCAACAAAGAAAGCAAGAATTAGTAAATACTTTCAAATGAATGTTAAAAAAATTGAATGCTATCATGTAATTTGATTCATAATAAAGTCTTATTGTTGTGAAAATCATTTATTTTCAATGGATATGTAGAGTAACGTTTGGTATTTACCACGGTGATTATTCTCAATTCTTTTTTATCGTGATGATGATGAGATTCGAATCTAAATCATTTTTTTGGTGACATCACTATACTGATATATATGAATCAATATTTAGCCATACTTTTGATCATTGATTATGAAAATTTGGTCGGTTTAATTGGTCAACTTCAATTTCGTCAATTTCGTCACATTCCGTCACTTTTCGTCAAATGCGACGAAATAATTCCCCGCCTTGCAAAGTATTTCGTCAACCATTCTTAATATTGACTGTAACAATAGTAAATGATGAGAATACTTACTTTCTATTTATTATTTAAATAAATCAAAAATCAATCATTTAAAAAATAAAACAAAATCAATCAACAGTTAATATGTTTTCACAAACAATGATATTGAGTGTAATGATAGTAATGATGAAAATACTTACACCCTATTCATTATTTAAAATAGAATAAAAATTAGCAGTTAATATGTTTTCAAAAACAATTGACTGTAATAATAGTAACTTACGAATCTATTTATTATTTAAAATAAAATGGAAACCAATGATTAATATGTTTTCAAAAACAATGATATTGACTGTAATAATAGTACAAAAATACTTACGGAGCTATTTATTATTTAAAATTAAACGAAGCCCAATAGTTAGTATTTTTTCAAAAACAATGATATTTGACTATAATTAAATGAAATACCTCTCTTCTTCAAATTATTGTTATCATCCATTGGATTTGCTAAAGCAACAACAGCAAAAATAGTCAAAAAGAGAAGAAAAATATTGAATTTCATTTTGATTTGTTCAGTTAATTCTTAGCAATTGTGGTTTTTTTTTCAAATTGTATGCAGTTAAGGAGTTTATAAAAAATTTATAGTAAACCAGTAAACCAGTTATTTTAGAATTATGGATCCTTTAAATATTCGATTTAATGTTAATTAAACAAGAAATTGATTGTTGATTGTGAATGGGCTGTGTATCGTATATCAAAGAACAAAGAAAAAATGCAAACGGTTATTTACTTTTAGGCGCGTATTGAAGATAAAGGAAAGGATCGACATCATTATAATAATCATAAGAAAATTAGTTAATACTCTATCGTTTTTTAATTGTAGAATGACAAAATGTCTCACTTTAATTATAAATCTTGTTTTTTCCCAAGATAGACAATTACCGTTGCACCAATTTAATTCCGTTGTATCTTATTGTTTCTTTTTCTTATCCTTATTATTCTTATTATTATCTGTATGATCATGAGCATTCATCCAAATGTTCAAAGGTTGCTTACACTCATGAGTAAGATATGGGATAAATGAAAAAGATTTTTGGAAAAAATATGAAAAATTCGATATTTAAAATTTTTAAGCAAACCCCGTATACAGTCAAACCTTGTTCCAACGAATCTATGGGGGGACGCGTTTCAACTAATTTTATATGTTTTTATGTGTGAAAGCAAAATGTTTAAAGATTCGTTATAACACGAAACAATAAATATCATTATTTTGCAGCTTAGGTTCTTTGATTTGTGATACGCGAATGAATGAGAGATAATATTGCATTTTTATAATAAGTTTTAGGGCAAAATGTCACAAAAATTGCTAATTGTCAACCAATTCTAGTGATGTTAGCCGGTAGAAAAACCTTAGCCGGCTAAGCCGGCTAAGAACTTGAATAAATTTTTTATCTAATAA